GGCGGAAGGGGGGCGGGGGGTGGAGGGGGGAGGGGGGGGGGGGTCAGATGAAGCTGATATCCTGGCAACGGGTACCAGAGGGGAAGAAGAAGAGGTGGGAGGCTGGGAAAGGGGGATGGAGCTAGGAAGGAAGGGAGAGAAGGAAGAGGATAAGGAAAAGCAGGGAAGTAAATAGAGGGCAGTGGAATGAAGCAGGAGAGGTGACTCTGTGCCTTTTACCCTGCCCACAGCCCTCATTCCTACATCCCCAGATAAGTGACCCCTTTCTAACCTTCCCCTGCCTGGCTACCTCCCCAGGAACCACCCAACGCAGCATCTCCCACAAATCTAGGCATCTGCTGGGGGAGAGGGGTCTCCTACTTACTTGGGTTTCTCCAGTGGGTCAGGCTCATTGCGAGCGAGCCCAGCAGGGGATTTCTCTGCCTCTTCTGCTGTCAGGAGGTGTAGTTCAGCTTCAACTTTTCCCTGCAGGGAGCAGAGAGAGGCCTGCTGAGACATGGGCAATGCTCTCCACCGCAAGCCCCAGAGATGGTGCCAGCCAGGGACATGGTGAGCAGAGGGGACCCAGTGTAGCAGAAGCAGGCATGAACGAGTGCTGCAAAGGTGCCTCCATGTACACAGAGGATGCAGTCCCCAGGACAGAAAATCCCCCCACTTCTCTCCATCCTTGCCGTGATCTCCAGCTCATCGTTTTCATCCCTGGCCACAAAGGGCCACCAGCCTTTCACTCGCTTCTGCTTGAAGAGGGAAACCATGGGCAGCTCTGCCTCATTTGTCACCATCTCCATGCTGCACTGCTTTGCAGTCTTAGCTCCCTGGGGAAAGTGGTTCAGGTCCAGCTCAATTGCCCCTGGTAGGAGAGGAGGAAGGATAGATGGTGGCACCCTTCCACTGTGAGTCTTTGGCTGGAGGCAGGCTAGGCCAACATTTCCTGCCCTGGCGAGCATTTCCGAGCGGTGTGTCCTGGGATCCTCCCACACATCTATGGCCATGCATCCTCTGATCTCTCCAATATATCCTGCTTTTTGGGTCATGTCCCCACATCCTCTCACCCTCTCAATCATCTGCCCACGGCTTCCAGCCACCCTGCACTCCAAAACTAACTTGGGCATAGAGCTCACAGATAGGGAACTAAGGTAAAAAGCTAATGCCTTTGCTACAGGAGCAGCCTTTGAACAGCAGCATGAAGACAAGGCCTCTTAGCCTAACTGCTCTTACATGCAGCATCCAAAGGGGTTTGTAGGACACAGTTGGCTTAAAGACCAGGGCTGTCCTTCCAGGATCTGTTCCTACATAAACCTTGTCTCATCCCACATGCCTTCCTGCTCCATCAGCCATGTAACCCCCCGCTATCCCCCCAGGTTCCCTGTCACCACAGCTCAGCTGGCTCTCCCCCCTTACCAAGGAAATCATCAGCTGAGAAGTGGTCGGCATCCCAGACCTGCAGGGTGAGGCGAGCAGGGATCTTGTATTCAATCTCGTCCCAGGAGAACATGGACTCCTTGGAGATGACGATCTTATCCTCTGCCATCAGGTAGTCAAAGGGAAAGGTGGAGCGCCAGTTGAAGTTGCCCTCGCATGCGGTAATGGACATCTGTGTCTTGCTTGCCCTCCTGCTGGCCCTTCAGCCACCTGCAGGGCCCAGAGGGATGGAAGGGGTGGCACATATTAGCAGGAGGGAGGAGAGGGCACAGGGCCATCCTGTGCATACAGCTGGGATGTCTCCAGGCCAGCAAGGCATGGACAGACTGGAAGGACTCAAGAGTAATGAGCAATGGGCTAGGGTTGCTCAAATCACCATGTCAGCCTCTCCAAGAGGCAACATGGGCATGAGGGCTCTAGAGGGAACAGGGTGATTGAGGGAGCAAAATGCAAGCTGGTTATCAGGGTCTTTCTCTGGGCAGGGGGATGTTCAAGAGATGGAAAGGAGCAGGGAGCATTGCTGGGAAGTCTGGAGCAGAGCTTGCTGGAACGAGCATTATGGATGTTCCTCAGCTTCTTTGACATGACAGGACACCTCTATTCCTCAGGGAACTCTCAGATTTTTGTGAGCCTGTTGGTCCTGAGGGGCTGCAGCCAGCAAGGACATGGGTCTGTGCTTAGACACTTACTACAGGGTTGTTCCCCTGGACTCTGAGCATGTTGACACTCCTGCTCTGCCCTGCAAAACACACAGGGCAAGCAATCCCACCCCAAGCACAAAGGGAAGGCCTGTCACATTTCAGATTCAGAGTCATTGAAGAAAAGCCACACATGCATAAATCACCTTCTTACCTGCCTTGAAACAGACAGTGACAAGACCTTGTCCCCCTCACACACACGTACACAGACACAAATTTCACAGGTCTGCCAGTATGCAGCAATGGCATGAATGATGGAGAGAGCATGGGTCCTTCCAGCATGTTAAAGTTCATAGCTCCAAGGGCACCTGCTCTCTGGACAGCATGGCATTGGGAATGCGGAGGGAGGCACTGGATGCACAGCCCTAAACAACCCTCCACTGCACTCTGCAACAACCCTCCACTGCACTCTGCAAACAGGACCAGAGATAGAAAATGGAACGAGTTCTCTAAGAGCAGCATGAGGTGCAAGAGGAGGAGACCTGGCCTCAGCAGACAAGCCTGCAGAGCAGCAGGATGGCTTTTAGGAAGCAGTGAGCAGTTTAGCAGAGATGTGGGAAATCAGTGCATGGTGTGATGTCAGCCATCAGCCTTAGATTCTGCTACACTAATCTGACCTTCCTCCTCATGCCTCTTTGCCATGACATAGGGTTTAAGCCTTTGGAGAAAGCTTGTTTTCTTGCCTGCTGCACATTGCGCTATGATCTAGTTGCATCTTAACCTGTGTGTGTCAATTAAAAATGAATGAAAGGATCCGAGCTTGAATTCCGGGAAATCCAAATCCTCTCTTGCTGAAGCAGGCAGTTCAGGTAGCTCTGAAGGGACGGGAAAGGGAAATTTGGTGACCGAATCTGGCGGAGCCCATGTTGAGGGCCAGTCTCAGAGCCCTGGTATATGAGGACAGGAGAAAAGGGTCTCACAAGCACGTTAAGGTAAATCGTGGGCCAGGGCTCACTCAGAGATGGTCCATAGGTACCATCTGCCTCATGCTGAATATGGGGAGGGTTAGTGGGGTCTGAGATTGTGGGGAGGACTGGAATTTAATCGGTGGCTCTAGTAACACAACATTGGATCTAGAGCTACAGAAAACCTTCTCCACCCCCCCATCTCCAGATTTAGCTGTATGCTGGCAGCTCGTGAGAGAAATGTCTCGTAAAGAATTGGTATGTGAAGGTGCGGGTTCTCTTGTCTCTAAAACAGGGGAGTTTTGGAAGTGGTACGTGAGAGAGAAGCAGAGATAGGGTCACCAGGAAGCTACCTGGAATTTGGATACAGATGCTGGAAGTGGAGGCATGTTGGGCTGAAGACCCAAGTGGGGACACCAAGACCAGAGCCAAGGGGGACGGAAGCACTGTGCCTGCCAGGAGCTATGAATGTCGGGAAGCAGACCTGAGGCACAGACGAGTAGAGGAACAGCCCGCACTCAGGTCCTGTCCAAGGGGAGAGGGGCAGAAGGGACCAAGCAGCAAGGCCTCGGCCATTACCCCCGACGTAGATGTTAGACATCTTCTCTCCCACCAGGAAAGCATCATCTTCCAAAAACACCTCATCGGTGTTCCAGATAATGACCCACAGCTCAAAGCTGGGCAACCAGGCCAGGCAGCACAGACAGACACACGCAGCAGGTCAAGCACCCAGCAAGAGAGACACAGAGGCAGAGACAGAGCACAGGACATAACAGCAGCATTGGCACTATCTGGCCCTCCCCATGGGGAAACCCTTCCTAGCTGCATCACAGAACCCCCCTCTCCAAAACCAGGCCTAAGTGAGCACCAGGACCCCACCTCGAGGAGAAGTGGAAGTGGTGGCACTGGCCAGCCACATCATACATACCCCGCTGACAAAAATGTCACTGGATTTCTTGCCAGTGAAGTAGTCATCGTCCTCCAGGATGACCTCCTCTGTGTTCCACACTATCACTCTAAGCTCATATCTGGCAGGAGGAAGGGAGACAAGGAAGTGAGGCACGGGGGAAACAGTGGGAAGGGGCAGGAGGAGATGGGGTGGGCAGAAGGGAATGGGATGATGCTGCAGGAAACAGGGGCCAGGAACGTCAACTGCAGGACTCTACTCGCAGGGGTCTTGACCTAGGGACCAAGAGGGCAGGAACACAGAGGGAAATCATGCCTGAACTTGGAGACAGCCCAGGCAGGGTCAGAGGAGCAACAAAGGGATTTTTACCCTCATCTACTCTGAACTGCTGCATGACCCAAGCCAAAGGCTCTAGGAGGCAGCACAGGCTTAGTCTGAGGTAGATTTGTGGCTACAATGCGGGTCTGTTGGCCCTGCAAAACAGTCTGAATCCAGCTCTTTTCCTCATTTCCCCACCTTACCCAACTGGGTCACCCTCCTGGAAACACAGGACAATTTTCCCTTGCCTTCAGAAGTCAGCTCCGAAGGCTGTACCTGGTCTTGTGTCCCAGTCACTTCATCGGGCATCACTGTCTTTCCTAGGACTCCAGCAAGTTTGGAGCCTGTAAGATATTCTCAGCATTGCCTTTGGTGTGCAGGCAACTGGAGTTTCCCAGCCACACTCAGTTCAGTTGGGAATTGTGCTGATGGATAAACCAGCTCCAGTGGGAGCTGGCAGAGGAAAAGCAGAAGCCAGTTTCCTTGAACTGGAAGCAGCTGCAATGTGGATGGGCTAGAAGAGGACTGGAAGACTGTGTTAGAGAAAGGCAGCCATGTGGCCACAATCACATCACATGGTTGGAAGTGCCAGGGACTCCTGTGGGACTGTGAGACTCCTGCCATCTTCAGTGCCAGCACCCTCCTGTCTGCTCCTGTTGCGGGGGCAGGGGGGGCTTTCTCTGTGCTGTTCCTCTATAGCACCTAGCACTTGTCCAAGCAACACAGGGATGCTCTTCAGAGCTAACAGGCCACACTGTCAGCTCGTGTTACATGCTGAAACTCCTGGCAAAGAGATGGGAGCTGCGTTAAATCCCTAGGATGATAAATCAGCAGAACCTTGCTGAAATTAGGGTTAGGGCTGGGTGCATTGTTCTACCCCCTTCCCCATACCAGGGACTAGCTAACAATTTAAACTCCTCGTCTAGACAGACACAGAGAGATGAGGAGCTGCAGGGAACTGAACAGATGGGAACTGAACCACCCTGCAAGGGCAGCTCCACAACCTGTGGGGAAGTGGAAGACATCATTTGATGCCTCCAGTCTTGGGATTTCTGGACATGCCAGTCTGGTTGGGGTTCCCAGGCAGATGGCTGTGCTGAGCTGGGCCATGGAGAAGCAGTAGAAGAAGGGTGAAGCAGGGCTCCGTCCCCAACCATGGGTTTTCCCTGGGGTTTGATGGCTGGCAGATTCCTTACTTCTTTGGTTTCCTGGGGGAAATATAAATGGCAGGGCCTGTGCTGGCATATCCATGGGGAACATGTCCACCCACATCTCCAGGTGACCCTGCAAGGTTGGAGAGGTGCAATCAGCTCCCTCAGATCCTCCTTGCCCAAAGACACCTGCAGCATTCCCCCCAGCTCCTCCTGCCCTTCAGCATCAGTAAGGCTGTGCCAGTCCTGCCAAGGCAATGCAAGGCCTGCAGCACCGCACTAAACCCTGCCGGATGTGGGGCAGTGCAGGGCCTGCAGCACCACACTGAACCCTGCTGGATGTGTGATTGGGCAGGGCTCCATTGTGCTGTTTGTTCTTTATTGACGCTAGTAGAGGAATTTTTCCTGGCATGGCATGGTGCCAAGGAAGAAGAACACAAGCATGGGGGAAGCAGGGGACCCAGAGACTTTGGGGTATGAAATAGATGCCAGCTGAAGATGAAGAGGCACTGAAGATTTAGTTAGCTGGGGTCAACGCACAGTGTTAAGGGCTGTTATGTCCAAGTGCCACTTTTCGTAGGCTGCCTCCCTCCCCACTCCTCCCCATGACAAGGTGGGTTGCAGCTTGTCTGCCCAGCTGAGATCTCTCCTCCCTGCTTGGAGGCTAAGCAGGCCCTGCCCTTCCCCCTGATCTTGGGCTGTGGGGACCTGTTCAATGCCCGGCTTGTCAGGGTTCAGCAATGGACGCCTCTCCACGTGCTCAGGGACCAGCCTGCAGCCTACACGTGGGATGTCTTCCCAGTGGTGCAGCACAGTCAGTGCTAGGTGCTCCTCTGCCTGCTTCTTCTGTCCCGTGTGGGTAAAGGGAGGACTGAGTTTGGAGAACTGGGCAGAAGAGACACCAGGGACAGCAAACAACCCTTTTCCTCTATCCCAAGCAGGACCCAACCTCTTACTGACAGCAGTACCTCCAATCTGGGTTTGCAAACCTCTGGTGAGGGGTTTTGGAAAAGGCGTTTAATTGGTTAATTATCCAGCCCTGAAGTGGAAAAGCTTTACAAAATGGAGAATGGAGAAAATAAAAGCAGGTAATTGTCAACGTGTTAAAAAAAACATATAACTGCACATATATGCTCATCCCTGTTAAAACCCTGATTTTGCAGCTGTTGGGCTTCTTTTTCCACTTTCCTCATTTTTTTTTCATTTACACAAGGACGGAGTAAATATGACAAAATGAAAACAGTAGCGTTTTATACTCTCTTCATGTAGATGTAAATTTCTTTGCGGTTGGAGCTTGCATCTTTGGTATTCAATAGAATAACATGCATGAGAACCAACTAATCTACAGGAGTTCATCCAACAAAGGAAGAAAGGCTGAGAGCATGCCAGATATAAGTGCAAAGGAAAAGGTAAAAGCAGAATATATGGGTAAGCAGATACAGATGAGTCTTTCTGACTGTGATGAGCACCTCCAGAGAGCCGTAGGAGTGTCCTGCAACCACTGTTCCTCCCAAAGACCTGCCTACATCAGATAAAGCAGGATTTTGTGTTGTGGCTGCAGTTCTTCTGACTAATACTCTAATGTGCTTTGTAGAAGGCAATTTTGCTTTTCTCTTGTCTAAAAATCTTTTCCTATATTTTATTATCCTTTTCACATTAGGGGAATTAGCTTAGTAGCTTTGTCATTTATTACATTTTGCACAGCAACGATCAATAATCTCTTTAATGCATAATTTTGAAATATGTGTTTAAAAAAAAAGCTGCTGGTTTTTAGTCACAGCTCAGCAACATCTGATCAGGCCAGACAGCAGTCTGTGAATGGCTGTCAGATTGCAGATATCTGAGGTTTCCAAGCAAAACTGTGATCAGCATGCAGCTCCATTAATCTATCCCTTTCCATTCTTTTCATATGTCATATAGTAATGCTAATGAACCAGGCAGTGCATATTTGTAGGCTGCACATTAGACATAAACAATTTATCATTTTCTGTTTAATTAAAGAACAATAAAAAGAAAATTATCCATAACGGTCCAGAGTCTACTGAAGGACTCAAGATTAACATATAGCTAAATGACTGTGAGGCCCACAGTGACCTCCACAGATGAGCACCTGGAGGCTAACACAGGCCTGGCACAAGAGAGTGAAAATTCTCCAAATGATGCTGGTGCAAATTTGAATTGTGACAGAGATATTAAATAAGTATAATTTACTGTTTGAGAACTGAGAGAGGCAAAGAGCAAAAGGAAATAGCTAAAGGAAAAAAAACATTTTTAGAACACTGCTTCCTCAATATACACACAGATGCACTCACACGCGTACACAGTGATGGCGTTCACTGAAACAAATTAAGCATTGAAGAAAAAAATCCTACCACATAATTAGTAACCAGTTTAATTGCAGGCACTAACCTGCTCTCTCTGGCAAAACCCTGCAGTCATGTTTTTAATTGGGCTTGACTGTATCTTGTAAGCACAGGCGGGAGCAAGACGCGGTGCGGCACACCCTGCGAGCCACTCGCTGGGAGCATCACAGCAGTGCCTGCGCCCGCCTCGCAGCTGGCTTGGCTGCTACTCACTGGCATGGGTCCCCTCACACAGCCAGGGCAATGCAATCTACCTTTGCTCTTCTCAGAGACATAACATTTTATTTTTCCTCAGGAGACACCACTGTAGGAGCAGCAAAGGTTTAAAAGGCATTTCTTTTTCTTTCCAGGCTACAGCATACTTTACTCATACCTTGTGCCAAGCAACAAGACTATTAGCCCATGCTGCACGTGAACACATAACAGAGCAGCCAGGCTTAAATGGAAAGAAGCCCCAGGAAATCTATGTGAATTATATTTACTTTTTAAAAGGCCTGCTTTTTATCAGGCTAGAAAATGTAAAGGAAGTAATGGAACAATCTTAGTAAGCTGAGGAAGAGAGCACTGCTTTTCTAGATACCCCGAACTTGCAGTCTGCACTTAGCCCAGGGGAGCTGTGACATGCTGTTTCAGAAAGCAAGTGAACTCAGGGCAATTAACTTCTCAGCTGCCTGGCTGTTGCTTTCATTAGTTTCATTAGTTTAGTGCATTCAGTGAATATTCCTTCCTAATCCTGCAAAGGTGGAAAGTTTATGGTCTTAAACTTTCAAGAGAAGCCTGATACAGAAGAGTCCTAAGAGTGCCAAAATTTCTTCATGCCTCAGTTTCCTTATCTGTAAAATGGGATTGATACAATGGTAGCTCTAGAGTAACTGGGTATTCCCTCATGCTTTGGTATTTGCTTAGTGAAGTGCAGTGACATATACATTGACTTGAGTTGAATTCTTCAGTCTCTATACTTTATTCTCAAATTTACTTTTCTTTTACTTCCCCTGTACCTCAGGGGACCGGGTGGGGGGGGAGGGGGGGAAAGGAGGGAAGATACCTTTCCCAGTTCCAGGGCTGAATTTCTTGGCAATTCCCTATCTAAATTTGTAATCTGACAGACTCAAAGGTCTCCAAATTGTTTTATGAAACTTGAGAGAAAACTTGCAACTTGACTTGCTTTATGAAAATGAGAGAAGTCCCCATGGTGGGTTACAGTGACAGTATGCTGCCTTGCTCATGAACCTTCCCTGAACTTTCTGTATTTGTTTTACACAAAATTCCTGTTTAGGACAGGGCATATGTCTTGTTCTATATCTCACATTGTACATTTCAAAGGTAAAATTCCTCAGTGAATGTCTATAGTTAAAACCAGCTGGTGAGCCTACTGTAGATATTCCTTCTCAATTCTGTGTGCGGCAGAAAAGGCTGTTTTCAAGCATATCGCCCTGGAACCAGCACTAGTTCACTACAAAAGTAGCTCATTTCCTCTTTTTTAAATATGATTTCCTTTTTTATCAGGTTTTAATAGAAATTTCATTAATTTAAGTAGGTCTGTTGTAAATCATTCAGGAGTGTTTCTGATTTTTACTCTTCTTTTTTCTGTAAGCATTCAATAATTTGTAGATAGGAGTCATCTGAAAGTTAGCTGTCTAGCTTAAGTTCATCATCTAGACTTACCTATAGTCCGTGAAGAGAGAGAGCCACATCCACTTAAGTGACTTCTTCTACCCGTTAGAGATATCTATGTTAGAACGGAAAAATCACCATCTGAAGAAGTTTTCCTCTCTCCAACGACCATGCAGAGCGTAAATGCCAGACTTGGACTACACACCTTGCTTGAAGCAAATGAAGTTAGTCTGTGATTCATGTGCATAACGCAACCAACTTCCAAAGTAAAGGTTGTTTGCACGCTGTTCTTTGCTGTTGTTATCTCTGGCATATAGCTGATCATCTGAGGTTATACCAAAGAACACAGTGGATGATCATTCTGCAGTTTCTGTATGTTTGGGTGGAAAATAAAGCATGCGATAGCAGAGCCAGAGCTGGTGAACAGTAGGATCTCGTGCAATATTTAATGTAACTGAGTCCAAGGCACGTATTCAGATCCAGAGCTGGAAACATACTGTATATGGGAGCAGGATTAATAGCAGGTGACGATAGCTAAGGAAGAGAAAGTTAAATAACAAGATAAACAATAAACTTTTAGTTACAAGCAATCATCCATAGTCAGAGTTATATAATCCTGGGAATCTGTGACCATTTCACATCCAGACTAGCATAATTCAAATATTCACAAGAACCAAACAATATAACTCATTTTGGAGAGACAGAATGAACTTGTCTTCTTTTGTATTACTCAGTCAGTGTTTCTAGCCTGTCTAGAAAAGGCAGCATGAGCATATGGTTTTACAATACTGCATCTTGTTATAAAGTTAATAAAAACTTTATAATCATTAGCATAAAATATTACTCATATTTAGAGGGACCTTCTGATCGTTTTCCATCTCCCTCCGTCGCCCTTACTTCTTGCATCATGACTTCATCTGTAAACATGGAGAAGGAGCTCTATGACAATTGCGAGACAGCTGATGACTGGAAAGCACTGTTATTGTCAGACAAGAAGATCTGAGCTCTCGTAAAAGCAGC